CCCCGCCCCCGCCTCTGCCTCCATGTGACCCCCAAACTTCCCTTTGTCCTGGCGAAGTGATGACGGAGGTGATCAGTACAGCTATTCAACTCGCGAGAAAAAACAAACAAACAAACAAACAAACAAACAAACAAACAAAACCAAACAAGGCTATGGGAAGGCAGAGGGGTCAGAACTGCTGCGGAAGGCCTCATTAAAGGCAGTTTCCTATTGAAAAAGTATTCCTCAAAAACTAATATGCAAAGGCAGGACGTAGCCTACAATCCCATTACTCAGAGATGGAAGCAGTGGGACTGGTTCAAGGTTATTATCCCCAGCTGCACAGTGAGTTCTGGAAAAGCGAAACCTTGTCTCAAAAAACGAAATGAAGCAAAAGACTAACATACGCCCCACCCAATCATGAGTTTTATATATTTATCGAGATTTTATTTAATTAACGAGTGACGCTAAGGAAAAATATCCGGCCCTTGTTCAAATGGAGAAGAAGGCTATTCTAGTCAGATTATCGTAGAAGCAGAGAGAACGCAAAGACAGCTGGGGGTTGTAGCCAGGGAAATGGTGGCCAGCGTGGGTGGAGAGGTCTTAAGAGCAGATGTCAATCAAGGACAAGGGGCTTCCCACTAAACAGGCCCTAAGAAATTCTTCCAAAAACCAAGCCAATGGCTTAGACGTTAAAGGTGAGGGATGATGATAAAAGGCTATTTCTTGGAGCAGGGGTGGGGAGAGAATTCTCCATGGACTAATCCAGGAGGGTGGCTAGTGCCAGAGACAGGTGGGGGTCAAGGTACAGGCCTAGTCAAAGAAAGGGCTCTGAGGAGCGGAACTACAAGTTGATTAATGATGGGTTTGTAGGACGTTAAAACCATATACCGGAAAGTTTGAAGAGATTTAAAAAAAAAATAACTCATGTACCCAAATTAGTGAATTAATAATAAATAAATGGTGTAAAGAGATTGCTGATAGAATCGGGTGAATTTATGTCCCCATTGTAATAAGTGATGCTGGACTGCTTGACGTTTTATGGCTTCTTAAGCATTTATTTATTTACTTAGTTTTTGGGTTTAGAGACAGGGTTTCTCTGTGTAGCTTTGGAGATACTGGAACTTGCTTTTCAAACAAGGCTGGAATTAATCCCAGGACTCGGGAGGCAGAGGCAGGCGGATATCTGTGATTTCAAGGCCAGTCTGGTCTACAAGAGGTAGTTCCAAGACAGGCTCCAAATCAATACAGAGAAACCTTGTCTGGAAAAACAAACAAACAAAAACCCCATAAAACAAAACAAAAAAATTATATGGGGATGTGTCTGGGTGTGGGTTTGTGGGCAGAAGTGCAGTTACCCTCAGCGACCAGAAGAGGGTGTTGGGTCCCCTGGAGCTAGAGTTACAAGTGGTAGTACCAGGAACAAGTCTGGTCTTCTGTAAGAGCAGAAAGTACTCCTAACTGCTAAGCCATTCTTCCAGCCCCAGGAAGACAGTCTTTAAAAAAATTTTTTTTGGAGACAGGGTCTCACTTTATAGCTCTGGTTGGCCTAGAACTCGATATGTAGACCAGGCTGGACTGCAACTCTCAGAGATCCATTCACCTCTGCCTTCTAGGTGCTGGGATTAAGGTGTGCACCACCACATCTGGTGACCATCTTTAACAATAAAAATTAATTATTTTGTATGTATGTTTGTAATATGTGTGGGCATGTGTGCCATGGCTCATGTCGTTCTCTCCTTTCACCATTATGTAGTTTCTAGGGATTAGAGTGAGGCCTCCAGACTTGCTCAACAAACACCTTTCCCTGGTGAGTTACTTTAAGCTTTATGATGAGGGTCTTGCACACTGAAACAGTCTCCCCAAACATCCATGTTCTAACTACTGGACTCTATGAAAACTGCTTTCTGTAGCAAACACTTTGCAGAAGATTGCTTGAAGCATTGAGATTGGGAGATTATCTGGATTACCCAAGTGGATTCTATATTTGAAAGAGGCAAAGGAAGGCTTGCCCTAAAATGAAGCCTTTCCACCATGGAGTCAAAAGCTGATGGGACATGGTCAGAAGTCAGGGAATGCTAGGCACCACTGGAAGATAGGAAAGGCTCTGCGGGCCTTCTGACCTCCAAAACTGTAAGGGAGCTGTCAAGTTTGTGGTGATTTGCTGTAGAAAAGCAGTCAATAGTGCAGGTGGCTTGGAGTGAGGTTTGAGCTCACCCCCGCAGCTGTTCACTGTTAATATCCTTGTACTAGGCACTACCCTAAATTCTTTATCTGCATGAAGTGTATTAACTCAGTTAACCATGGAGGGTCAACTAGGGAGTCAGAGGAGTCTGGAATCCAAAGACGGTAGCCAGAAACATAAACCTGGGGGCCATCAATGGGTGACTTAATCAGATCACACCCAAACAGCATATCCAAAAGAGAGGCTTGCCAGTTCCTGAGCCTGGTACACTCCATCCTAGAATAACAGAATAATCCAAGAGAGAAGAAAAGCCAGCGAAGAGGCAGGTGACCAGCGGTAGATGAAGCTGAAGCTGAGGAGAAAGTGAGAGGAGTGCGGTGGCAGACGGGGAGAGAGCTAAAGTTTCCTGCAGTTTAGGGCAGAGAGGAAGCAGAATGGGCACTTCATTTAGCAAGGCAGAGGTGCAGGCCTGTGATCCCAGCACTTCAGAGGTGGAGGCCCAGTTCAAAGCCACCTTGGCTACATAGTGAATTGGCCATCAGTCTGGACAATATGAGACCTTGTCTTACGTAAAACAAAAAGCAAAAAGTGTCCTTGGAAAGCCCTCTTGCGGTTGCTTGATGGAAATAACTCCACCAGAGCCATTTGTAGATAATGTGAAATGAAAGCATCTGCCCAGAAACAAGGCAACTTATTGAAGGAATGTTGACAGTGGCAGCTCTTGGGCTGCAGGTAGAGGGGGGGTCTAGCGTTCAGAAAGGGCTCTAGTTGACTTCAGGCGACGGATCCTGCAGCTCGCGTTTGCTTGGTGGCAAACAAGAGTCAGAGATGCTAATAGAGAAAGTTACGTTTACAGCACGATCCCATAAGTCTCATAAGACCAGGGCTAACTACAATTCCCGGCAGGATTTGCGTGGGGCTGCGCAGGCGCAGGCCCCTGGCT